ACACACACACACACACACACACACACACACACACACACACACACACACAATGGTAGATGGTAATGACAATAAAGCGTTTGATAAAGAGTTGTATAATGTATAACCCTGTCCACGTTGTTTCCTGTCCTGTCAGCTTCTTGTCTTTGCACGCGAATATGTTTATCAGACAGTCTTTTATGAACAAAGTGTTCAGGTACAGACACACACACAATCATCTCTGAGGATGTTTTCTCGTATTGACTTGAACAGGAAAGTGACAAATTAAAGGAAAAATGGAGAAATGAATGGAGGATCAGGACACAAGGAGTAATTGAATGGTTGAAGACCATGAAAATGTTTTGTATTCTATGGCCTTTGCAGTCACCAGATCTCAACCCAACGGAGCTTCAATGGGAGATTTTAGACCATCATCAAAACAGTAAATGAGGGATAATGTTTTTAAAAGAGTTGGGTCCTTTCCCTTCAGTAGAGTCAGGAGACTTGTAGAATATATACCAAGGCACACTGATGCCATCATGGTGGCTCCTGGTGTCCCATTACCTAAATCAAGAACTTCCTGTTGGGCTTTCCTTTAATTTGTTAGCCGTCAAACAGTTTCAAAGTTTAATTCATCACCCAGCAAATTTGCACAGTCTGCCAACAAACACTGTGAGGCTTTCTAATTGGACCAGATTAATGACACTGGAATTTTTAAAGCTCATCTAAGAGTGAACGCTATAATTTACCTAACAGATGAAACAAAACCAAAAGGAGAGTCTGAAAGATGTCAGTCAAGAACAACCTGTGCACTCCCACGCAGTCATGAGAAACATGCTGGGAGGTGGAACATACAGATGTGCCAGGTGAAGGAAAACTGTTCTACAGAAATGGGTGAGGATGAAGGTGTTCCTTTGGCGAGAGAATCATACACTATGTCTCTACTTGTGTATGATGTGGAGCTTGTGACGTACTGTCTGATTGCTTTTACCTGATATTTCAGAAGGTAACTCCACTTGCTTCATATCAGGGATGTGTGGCACATGGCAAATGTGGATTGCTATTTTTTGTTTTTCTTTGACAAAAACCTGTTATGCGACATGGATTAGAGATCTAAAGCTGAGCTAAGCTAGTGATGTTTCAGCAGCATATCCCCAACGGCATTTCAAAGCCTCTGTGAGTGTAGCATGGCTGTGCGGGTTCTCCTAAATATGGATTTGCTCATTTAATTTGATTTCTTTATTGTGTTTATTGTGTCTGAAGCAAAACATTTGATTTTAATCTTACTGTATTTTTATATATTATAAAATATTTGGACCAGTGATGAAAAATTATAAGAATGTCATATTCATTTAAACATTCATTCTTCTGCAAATAAATGTCAATGTCTCTTCAGAACTATCAGCAACAAAATTCTGTCATGTACACTCCCTTTGTATTACCTACACCAGCTTATGTTTTCATGTTGTTAAGGTGGAGAATGAAACACTTTAATTTGTGGTGTCAGCTGTTCACATATTTATGAACACTCACTGAAGTATTCTGTACAAAATAATAATGAGCCCTATGGAAACCCACACATTTGATTTGTGATGCAGGTACACAGTGAAAATGCCAGCGCATCAAAACAGTTAATGCCATTTGTTGTTTGCAATGTAAAGATTGTGTATTTCAGTTGTGCGGTTGGTGTTGCAGGTATAACTTTTTTTTGCATGTGTGATGGGAACTAAAAGGCTTTCGATTGAGGCCAGTGACCACAGGAGAAGCGGAAGGTGTACACTTCACCGCCACACCTCAGAACCAGTGGCAGCAGTGGCGTGAAGATGTGTCTGTGTTCTCAAAGGACATCAGAGGCAGAGGAGCTGCTCTAACAGGAGGCGTTTCCTGGGCCACAATTTCAAAGAAAGTACATCTGTTTATTTATAGTGAGTGTAAGAGCGGATGGGTGCGTGGCTTCAGTCCCGTTTGACAAACAGTGAAACCCCCTTATGTCTTCAGTGTGAACCATGGAAACTTAATCATGCAGTAGATACATGCAGTGATAGCAATGTTTGATTGTAGTGTAGCAATGTTTGATTGTAGAGTGACAGTATCTCCATCTTACCGTTGTGTGACATGCCGACATTAAGGCACTTCTGGAAGCGACAGTATTGGCATTTGTTGCGGGACTTCTTGTGGATGCGACAGTGAAGATCACAGTGATCGTACACCAACTTTAACCTGATAGTGCGTCTGAAGAAACCCTGTGAGAAAGAAAACAACACCATCACTAACGGGTATTATCACTGCAGCCATCTGTCTTTTTTACATTTACTCTACTCCAGTAACTCTGCTCTTTTTCTCAGAACTAGGGAGATATTTGTGTCATAAAACTACATGAAATATGCATTTAGTTATTTTCACTTTAATATTTTTTTAGTTCGGTTGATGTTTGTGTTGACAGGAAAATAAGACATAAAAAAGTATGACCAGATTTTGAGTAAAGAAAGAAAATCTAAAAAAGACAAAATGTATTGTCAGATCATTCTCTGTGTCTCATTAACACAAAAAACACTCCAGCAACTAGAGAGCACACAGTAGAGCACATTCCTCCGTCAAAGCCCAACAGTCTTAAATTCAAACAAGATGCACTAAAATGGTTTAAATGTTGAAAAATCTCACAATGTTAAAGAGAGTGAAAAACAATTCCTGGATCCACACCATGATCCAGATCCACACCAAAATTTTATGTATTTCACTCACCCACGGAAATCAGTTCAGTAGTTTTTGTGTAAACTTGATTACAAACAAATAAAACATTGAACAGGCAGCGGTGAAAAACATAACCTCCTCAGTGAGGGTAGCTAGAATATAAGGGCCACAATAAAGAAAAAGATGGGACACGACAAAATTGCAACTCAATTTTCCCTAACAAGGTAAAACAACCACTTTGTTTTGAAATGTTGTAATTCAGTTTTCATCTTAAAGTTATGTTTTGTGAAGCAGCACAAAGTTTCTGTTGACTGATGCAGATTAGATTCCAGGTTCTCTCTAATCTGTGATGAAGTCAGCCACACTGACCACAGGTAGGTTGTATTTTAGGGTGGATTTCTGCTTTGATGTTTTTAACCTTAGGACCAAAGTAGTCATAAGACTCACACTTATCTCAGCTATTAACTCCACAGTCATGGTCAAACTCCTAAACACACTATACACACAGTCACATGTTTGTTAATGGCTGTGTTTGACTGGGCTGACTAAGAAAGCTAATAGAAATAACTGAATGGAATAGAAAAGGGAAACCAGGAGAACTTTTTTTAAGTTTTATATAAAAATCCACAGGTGGCTGGAGGCCGGTGTGTTTGGCATCTGAATTCCTACAATCCACAGATGTTCTTTTAGGAAGGAGGAAGTGAAAGGGGGTTAAGACTCCGCCTCAATAAAGAATGCTTTCTGTTTAGAAACAATTAAGTGTTTGCCTGTTTGGCTGACCCCCTCCTCTGGTGAGTGTCCCCTGAGACCTGAGCAGAACAATGACTGACTGTACCTCACCTTCATTCAGCCTCTGGAGGTAATGGAGAAGTGGACAGAAAAACACAAACCTTTGTACTCTGTAATAGATCGAACACAACAGCTCTGACATATTTCACTCTATGGTGATGGTCAAGGCTGTGGTTGCTTTGTATTAATCTGCATTAATTTGTAGGTCATTCCTACCTCTAGCAAGTCTGTTTGTGTGTTTGTTGGTGGGTTTTTTTGGCAAAGATCCTGACAAAGAGATGGTCCCAGGGTTTTTTCACTTTCTTTGACATTGTGAGATTTTCACAGATTTCCCTGGGAATCATTAATGGAAAATCAGGAACATTTAGGGAACTGAGTGTGTAAAATGTAGTGCACATCTAAATAACAATCCGGATCTAGTGGATTGAAATCTGGTTTCGTCAGGGCATAAGCTTGTTTTTGTCATGGACATTTTATTTTCTATAGCATTGTGAGATTGACATTGTGAGGCCCTTGTCTGAGCTGTGGGCTCTACTGGGTGCCACTCTAGTTGGATGATTTCTCAATTTCATTTGTTTTGGCTCAAATGTTTAAGTAAGTTTAACAAATTATTAAAAATACCTTGCAATTTACTGCAGTCTAGTGCAACAGTATCACAATGTAAAGCCTTTACAACACATATTACATTGTTGTCTGAAAGAAAAGCTGAGCATTCTAAAGCAGCGAGAGGAAACCTGCTGAAGGTGACAGAAAGACAGTTTCTTGAAATCAAAATGAAAAACTCATATGCAGTACTGCTGCCGTTTCTAAAGGCCTGTCTCATTGTCTGAAATGTGTGAAAACCCCATCCCCCACACTCTATTAGTGAATTATATTCTATAGAACAGAGAATGTCTAGTCTAAAGGACTGTATGTCTGTAGTTTAGCCCTCGCAGGGTGGAAAATGTATTGGGCCTGTGGTTGAGGTGACAGACATAAAAGAAGAATTCTCTCCATGCTTTATCGGGTTTTTCATTCCACCAACACGTTTCACCTGAGAGTAACATGTGGTGACAGAAGAGCGAAGGCTGGCAGAGAAAGACTTTGCTGCAGAAATAGCTTCACACCCACCCTGCACTATTTCCTGACATGACTCTAAGGTGGTGACTGTAAATTATCTAGAGTGTCACTTTTGAGAGCAACAATGTATTTTTAACTACTACTCTGCTTTGTTATGTAAGTCACAATAGGTGAGTATACAATTATTGGAAACTTCCAGTCAACAAGAGAAAACATTTCTTCACATAAAAGATTCTGACTTCAAACCAGCTGACAGCAGAGCACTGGCTGAAATGTGCCCACTCATTTTCACAAAGAATTAAATTATTGACAATCCTACAATTAAAACACAGTCAGTACCCAAATGCCCCCTTAAATTCAATTAATATGCATCATATTTCATGCATTTCATATACATGGTCCTGTGAATATGCTGGATTTTTTTCATTAAGATCCATGAATTATTCCTTGAGTAATCAGTGGAAATAAAATAAATCAAGAAAGCTTTATCTTTAGATTGATTGCGAAATGATTATTAGTTGCGGTCTGAGTTTAATGTAATCCTGTAACCGAAACACTGCATTTTACTTTCATCTCCGTTCATGCTATCTTTCAGTCCTACCTTACAGCCCTCACAGGCATGGACGCCATAGTGAAACCCTGAGGCTTTGTCACCGCACACGCGACACTCGATATTTAGCGATGCTGCCGACGTGTCGTCCTGGAGCTTGGAAAACACTGGACTGTCTGAGTACTGAGGTGGTGACTCTGGCTCCAGCTTGATTGAATCTGAGACAAGAAATATAATCAGGCAGGGAGCAAACACCGAAGGAAGAAAGACAAAAACATATAACTTTACCCTCACCTCTTAGATCCAGATTTAGATTTATTGCTCAGTTTAAGTTTAACACTTCTTGTTTCTCTGAATGTGTGTCCTGTCATTTCTAGCTGATCATTTCAGCACATGCATAAAAGAATATCTTCACAAACTCTCCTCTCAATGTGTTAAACCTGAATATTCACATGACCCTTTCTTCTGCAAGGACTTGAACTAATAAAATAAGTTGCATATGATTCAGGCTATACTTATTTTCTGCTAAAAAACAGAGGAACTAACTTAAAACCACAAAGCAGACTTACTGTGCATGTTCAGCTCTGTCCTGTAGCTGTGCATGTTGGTGTAATCCATGTTCGTCAGGTGTTCCTCGCTCTGCGGCGGACTGGGGTCATAGGCCACGCCGACGGAAGCGATGGAGGACATAAGTGGGGGAGACAGAGAGGAATGGACGGAGGTGGAGGAGATGGAGGTGTAGTCCAACGTGGACAAGTGCTTCATGTCGAGAGAGTGGGAGCTGTCGTCCAGCTCCGAGAGGTCCACGGCACTCAAACTGAAACCCACAGGCCAGGCCAGGAGCTGCTGGGTGTCCACCATGTCGACTGCGGATGAGAGAGATGAGACAGTGAAGAGTTAGCTGATGCAATATCCTATGTTGACTCTGTGTGGCCTTGTTAAAAAAGAAAACAAGCCGAGAAGAAGGAGGGAGAGGGCAGGAGGGGAGGAAGAGGAAAAAGTTGAGCAGACAGAGAGGGAAAGGGAGGATGAGCTAAATAAGAGAAGAGAAACAAGGAAATGAAAGAGATGACGAAGAAAATTAACATACACGAGCCCACTTGCTTCAGTGAACATAGTTTTATTAATGGTATAATTAAATATCTAATACATAAGCAATGCGCGTGCACACACACACTCCCATACACTCCCTGTGATGAGTTCCCCCGGTCTTTTGGCTTGTTCTGGCAGTTTGTCTGTTATCTGGTAAACAGGGAGGCAGATTGTGTCACAGGGAGTACAAGGCGAACTAAAGAACGTCTTTTCAGCTCAAAACACCATCTCCCTCTGTTGCTGTTTGGGTGGCTCGCTGTGTGATTACCCAACCAAAGGACACAGAAAGCAAGACAGTTTGAGCCTCCGTCTGTCTGAGGCCAAGGATGCAGGAATCTGACGTTGGGACTGGAACGTCCTGTATGTTCTGAGAGCGAAATGTGTTTGGTACCAGGTGAAAAATGAAAACTTCTGTAACACTGCGCCTTTTCAAATTAGTTTAATATTTGGTCAACTGCATACAGCTGCCAATTATATCAATTTTTCTGACAATAAATCACATTTAAAGACCAAATCCTAAATTGCTTTATCCGTCTCTGCCAGTAATTTCCTACGATGTGAATCCTGAAAAACAGGCCACACATGTCTATGCTGAAAAAAATTCCAGGTGTAAATATTTCATGTGTTGGGGACTATTTTTAGCTGTGGATTTGCTGTTCGAGTAAATTTCAATGGTAACAGGAGTAGGCAGGGCACTGATTTTGTGAACTCCAAAAAGAATAAGCAATTTTAATATTACAGACAATACTTGATCAAAGCATCAACTCATTATTTGTTTGTCTTTTCATGAGATACACCAATATTCACCAATATATCACTGATGTGGTCTTATAATAAACTCTGCTTTAGAAAGAAAAACATGAATAGCATGTGGAAAATGACCTTTAAATTCTATTCCACATCCCCCTCTAGATATTCCTCTGTGTTGATAAAGATTAATGAAAGCTCTTCAGTCTATCCAATACCGTACTCAGATGGTTGGACATTGGAGGAGAGAAGTCAGCTGAGAAGGTCAAAGTCCACTTATCGGAGGTTACTTCAGTCCACATGAGAGCAAACCACATGCAATACTTTACAATCAAGGGCACATTTGTATAAGGGTTTTTTGGGGTAGAGTATATTGTTCATTTGTTTTGGCTTTTTTAAACATAATAAGTAACCAGAGCTGTTTTAAAGTGTAAACACAGAATATTTTTAAGAAACTGGGGCCAGAAAAAAGTCATTGTTCTTTCAAATAAGGGTATGTAATATTGAAATGAATGTATAATTTCTGAGGATAAGGCTGGGGATATCATCTTTTCTTTATTATTGTCAACAATTCTCAAAAAAAAGAAGAAGAACGCAAACCAAGAATTCAAGTAATACTCAATACTGCTAGTCGTTCTGAGTGAAGACAGAAATAATATGGGTCAAAAAAGTCTGTTTTCAATTCCAAAAAACAGATGTTTCTGATTTTTAATTGTCATACACATTACATCTAGCATTTATATCAGCATGATTGGTCAAAATGAATTACAATGATGTGTTGTAATTCACTACATCAGGTTTGGGATTTGATAGTATCCATTAAACTACTACCATTGAAAAAACTTTTCATGGAACATTTGACTGGTGAATACTTCTTCGGAAGGAAATAGTTGGTACACAAGTCATTCTATATATCACTGCTGGAGTTTTCCCACGCGTTTCTTTTTTACGAGGGAGGAAGTTGTGCTGGAATCCTGACCCTGATTTAAATTGGAGAAACTATGAAAAGGAAAAGGAAAAAGTAGCAACAGTTTATAAATAATTAATAGAGTAAAAGGTTCACTGTGCTACATGGCCTGCCAAATAACCTTTTGTAACCAACACTGAACCTCAAAATAAGCCTCCTCTAATCAACCTCCAGTGCTTAATTTGGAAAAAAAAATGCAACAAAGAATGCGATGAATATTGCAACAGGACAAAACTAAAATAACTCAGATGGCACCGTCACACCAGGTATAAAAATGGCTCCACGTTACTCTGCAAAACATCCCTGTGGAGCAAACATCCTCCGTTCTCAACTGCTTATTGTTTCCTTTTTACTTGTTTGCGGATCCACTTAAAATTCAGATCCAGTGTGGCATTGTTTCAGAACAGGAGAGAGAAAGTGTGTGTGTGTGTGTGTGTGTGTGTGTGTGTGTGTGTGTGTGTGTGTGTGTGTGTGTGTGTGTATAGCTTCCAATGCCTTGGAAGCTGCTAAGGGGGAAAATGCTGACTATTAATAACCAAAGAAACCTGGCTACTTTTTTCATCTGTTGGCTGGTTGCCACCCAATCCGAACCTAAAACAGACACAGTGTTGGAGTCAACTGCTTCCAGGTTGGCATCAACTCATTTAGAGACAGAAATCGAGCGGGAGAGAGAGAGAGCGCTCTGGAGATGAAGACAGAGGGAGATAAAGTGAGAGTGGTGACAGAGCGCAAGTCCTCAGACCACTTCAAGAAATCAAACAGCACTCGAGAGGCTTTAAGAAAAACTGAGCTCAGGAAATTCATGCTCTGACAAGCTTCTGCAGCCAGTGAAACCAAGGAGCGTTCATGATGTTAGAACCGACGGTGAAACAATTGGTACTGTAACTTCTCTCCTGAGATTGTCCATGTCGCACTGAATCAACATGTTTGTGTCTGTTAATGTGTGGGCACAGAACCTGATGTGATGAAACGTGACAGATGATTACTCAGGTTTTATGCAATGTGGATTGTGCCTGCATAATTGTGTAAAAGAGAGGGTGCATGCATATGTGTGTGTGTTTGAGAGCATGTGCGTGACAGTTCTCCTCAGATTTCCACATGTAGAAACTGGTCTTCCAGGTAACAGTACAGCGTGTAGGAGGACTTTCTATCAGCTATTGCCTCAGTCATGACATAAAAACAAAGGGCCAACGGCAAACTTTCAGGCAGGTCTGGCAAGATAATGTGAAACATTTTTTTTAAACAGGATTACCCAATTACCAATACTCGCGACACAATGTAAAATTTGAAAAGTCGATCTTACTTAAAAAAAACGATTGACTCAAAAAAGTTTGAAAATTGGTCTTAAACCTAAACTAGTTATCAATCTTACTTTTGTCAAGATGTTCCAACTTAAAAATGGCACGTGAAATTAACTTTTTCTTGCATTTTAGGTCAAACTAATTAGTCTGATTTAGCTGCATAGTTGTGTTAATTCATCTATAAAATTCAGACAAGACAAAAAACTTCCTCATCAATGCCATCACCTTCAAGGATAATATAGTGATAGCTTGGATTATACAAAGACAAGAACTCAAGTAGAGTGGTCTTGTGAGATTAGCTCAACATTATTAGTAGAAATCAAATAGATTTTTCACACATATTTTCTCATGTTTTACTCACTATGCACATATCTTCACTCATGGTACAGAAATGTCACATTTACAACAGCCACTGAAATTACTGGTACTGAAGTGTACTGTACTACGCTAACGCACATGTGCACCCCTGAGTTTTAAATGAATTTATATCCCTACAATGTTAATTTAAAGAGTGGTATTGATGCTGTTCTCACAGCCTGACAAAGCAGCTGCTCTGGAAAAAAGAGGTAAAAGCAAGAGGTCAAACATGGATGTGAAATCTTTCCCTTCAGGGACAAAGTTGCAAAATGAATTAAATGTTTTTTAACGTTCATATTTCCTCACAACGGCAACGACTCAGTCCAAAATGGACTGAAGCAAAGGCTGCGGATCAGATTACAGCACAGAGAGAGGCTGAGCTTCTTTTCTTGAACCTTTGAATGTGGAGTTAAATTGAATTTATTGAATTAGCTTTTTATCAGGTTGCATACAAAAAAGGACTTAAGAAGGAAAACACAGCTCAACAGAAGTTCAACAAAAGAAGGAATGCAAACAAAGCTCAGAATGACCAAGCCCTGCAGTCAGAACACATATCTAGTGCTGTCATCACGTCTTTTCCTACACTCCCACACAGCAGGAGTCGTTCAACAGTCAGGCGGAGAAAACGCACAGAGCGAGTAGCTAAGGACACCACAGGAGTCAACATAGTAGCTAGTCTGGTATATTTAGCAATGTGAGAGACAAAAGACAGAACCTGTCCTGCTGCATTCAAAGCCATTAATGCTCTTATCTATCTGTACTCGCTGTCGGAGGGTGAGCACTGCACCATCATTTGCACAACAGACTTTCACTGCATCACAAGCACTGCTGGAAATATACAGTATTTTGATCTTCGAGCTTATTTTGCTGGTAATTCAATGGAAAAGAAAAATATATATTTAGTGATGTCGTTTGAGGTTTGACATTATTGCTGTTCCCATCTTTAGTCAAGCATTTTTTTGCACTGTAAGCCATTTATATTATCACAGTTGTGCCATGTATATGAATGAGTGTAGTGTGTGCTCAGAGCTCTGTGACTTCCTGACCTCTTCATGTAAAACAGCATGTGGTTGAGTGTCGGTGACTAAAACAAAGATCTACCCGCCTGCGCGTCTGCCTCACAGTCCCCTGCATTTTCTTTGAAAAGAGAAGTTAAAGCAAGCGTTTTACACTGGTTAGTCCTGCGTGGGGAAACTGTGGGATAATGGAAAATAAATCACAGATAGCTGTGCTAAGGATCTGGATTATTTATCAGCAGCTGAATTCACTAAATATGATATCAACCAGGAGCTCAGCTGACAAAAGAGGAGGCTTTGTAAAGCTCCCATCCTGCTTCACTCTTCAGGAAACTGGTTGTGTGAAGCCACAGAGTACCTGCACGGGCCTTCCCCTATGAGCTAAC